GCTACAAATTCTCCTAAATCACTCACACGCACAACTTAAGAACAAATCTGTGCGTACGAACGGTTCTTGCATGAGGCCCATTGTCTCTAAATATTCGAGGGGGTTCTCAATTTTACTACGCAGCAGAGGCTCTAGTAGTGTTGTCGCTTATAATCTCTGTCCAGAAAGTTTGTGCAACAAATTAGTTGCAGATTTGTTGCGAATTCCATGGTGGGTACAAGAGAGGTGGGCAACACAGTGCCAGCTTAAGCTAGGTTTAGAGTCGGTGCATTGAACACGGTGCGAGAGTGTGCACACCAGCAGTGATGCAATCACACCATCTCTGTTCCTGTGGCCTCGCAAGGTGTTGCAGCACTTGGTCACGCACCTCCGAATTTTTGTAACTTTTCGAACCCCACTCCATTCAAACCATTCAAATAGTTTGTCTATCAAGCATTTTTATTCTCCTTTTAACAATATTTCCACAAAGGTGTGGACTCCGTTCAAGTTTAAAATGATTGGATCTGATTTTACCCAATTGCTAAGGTTTGGTCGTGATTTATGTGGTGCGCCAGCTCGACCGTGAAGGAAGCTATTCTAAGAAACTAACTGGAAAGTGCGTACACTGTAGGGTTGGGTGGTATTGCTCATTTTCATACTGTGGGATGACCTTCAGAAAATACCAGGGTATACGGTTTTACCGGCGGGGCGGGGTCTTACAGCTGGTTGGTCTGTGGAGCTGTCTGTCAGGTTTACTACAGCCAGCTAGGTGTGTCTGGACATGTCCAGCTGATGTCCAGCTGTGCTCAAGCTCTGGACAGCTTATTATTTTTTAATTAATTAAATAATTTATTTATTAATTTTTGTTTGGAGGCAGGAGAGGTGGGAGTGTCTCTGCTCCCCACTCCGTTCTGTAACACGGGGCAGAAAATCAACATCATCATTCATAACTTCTGTTTCCTGACTGGTCCAGTTAAATTCTAACAGAGAAATCCATGTTCTACAGAAGAAAGCCCAGTTGGAGCTGTAAAAGGAGATTAGAATCAACCAGAATTGTGTAGGAAGGCAAAGGCCAGGCTACATTTTTGCTAGCTTTGATCACAAATATAAACTGTTATTTTCAAAAACTGGCCGCTCACATTTTGGCCACGAAGTTTTGAGTAGCTCAGTTATATACCACCATAAGGTCACATCTTATTGTTTGCAAAGAATCATAATGTGTTGTTGTTGATGAGACTCACTGAGCGACGTGTCTTTGTCGCCAGGTTGATAGACATGCAGCACGTTCTGGTGCAGCAGGTGGAGAAGCGGGCGGAAGTGTTGACGGTGGTGAAAGAAAGGATCCTCACCACAAACTCCTGCTCCGTCACCCAAACACAGAAGCAGCAGTGCACCTTTCAAGGCGTGCTCAGATTGCTGGGCCTGCTGGGGAGCTCGATCAAGGTTAGCATGTTCTAATGGAAACCTGAAAAAAATTCTAAAAGTTGGAACTCCTAAAAATGAACATGTTGGTGTTTTGAAGTGTTTTGAAAAATTTAGTACACTGGTTGGAGTCCTAACTGGGTACAATCTGCTCAGTCGCCACAAAATGGTGATGGGACTCCATGACAATGGTCTGTGTGATGCCTGTGGCATTAGAGACCTCTTTGCACTACTTAGACCACTGCCTTTGAGCAGGCAAAGGAATAGAATTCTTGGGGACCCCTTTATGGATCCTGAGAAGCTCAGAACACTGTTTCTAAACCTTGTGTCCTCCATCCGAGGAGCGCGAAGGTTTGAATATAGACCAGTGTCTTTTTGGGGAGAGCAATGGGCCCACTTACCAGGCCCCCGCTCATATGGGTTCTTTATCCATCCCCAGTCAAACCATAACCATAACCCATATTGAACTATAAATACGGTAAACTCTGAAAACCACATTACAATGGCCTAGATATCCCTTTAAAGTTCTTAGAGTTGAACCAGTGTGTGTGTGTGTGTGTGTGTGTGTGTGTGTGTGTGTGTGTGTATTTTCAGGTGTGTGGGAAGGAGGCCAACACCATTGAGCTGGACTCTGATGTTTCTTTAGAGATTCCCTCTGGCACTGTGATTGCTTACAGCATACTGGAGCTGGAGATTAAAAAAAACGGACACTATGGTAAAGTGTTTTTGAGTTTGTGTATTGGGGCGGGGTTGGGGGGGGTGGGGTCTGAACTAAGAGAGTGAAACTCATGTCATCACTTCCTCTTTGTGGTTTGTTCTCATTGACGATGTGTACAAGCAATGTCAGTGTCAAATTTACTTATACGGCACATCAAAACAACAAAAGATGATCAAAGTGCTTTACAGTTCAGTCATGACTTGTATCAAAAAACAAACAAAAAATATCATGGATACAAATACAATACAGAAACACAATATAATATAATATATACATAAAGCTTTAACTGAACCTCCAACTCAGTCTTAGTCAAAGGTCAAAGAAAAGATTTAAAAGCCTCAACAGTCTCAGCTGACCAAATTTTAAGAGGTAGACTGTTCCACAGCTTTGGAGCAGCTATTGCAAAAGCCCAATCACCTCTAGATTTCAGTTTGGATCTAGGAACATCTAAGAGGAACTGGTTGGTAGACCTGAGTGCTCTGACTGGAGTGTAGATGTTAAGAAGATCACATAAATATGATGGGGCCAGACCATTAAAACCTTTAAAAGCCAACAGTAAAATCTTAAAATCAATTTTCAGGTGAACAGGAAGCCAGTGGAGAGAAGCCAGGACCGGGGTTATGTGTTCATGGTTTTTAGTAGCTGTTAAAAGAAAAAAAGCAAAGCCCAGAAATCAGAAAAAAAGTAACTTTTGATCCATTTTTTTGGTCTGCATTTCTACACTTGTTTCAATTAAAATGGTGTTTTGCAATTGTTTTCTTGTGACTAAGCCTGTTGTAATAGATCTTAACATTTTTTTGTTTTGTTATTGATGCATTGATCCATCTTTTTTTTATTAGTTGATTTTTTTATTTATGTGCTTTTGTATTATTGTATGGATTCTAGGACACAAAGCAATAATATGCAGGTGTAAATTAGGTTGTTACATCAAAGTTTCTGAAAAATGCTGTATTTTAAGTCACATGAATACACCAACAATCAAGTTTTTGTGGACAGCAGAAAATTTCTGTTTTGTCTTTTTGAGTTGGCTCTTTGTGTTTGTCAGAGTGGCGAGGCGGCTTCAGTTCTGTCCCGTTATTCGGTTTTGATGCTTCAAATTAATTGTATAATTGTCACACAACAAAAAATGTGCCACAAAATAGGTAATCATTTTTTTAACGTTTCTATAGATGCTGTCTGTTCCTCTCTATATTCATCTGTGATTATGTATTTTCAGATATTTGCCTGCAGCCTGGGACGGTCGGAGGTTTTGAGAACGACTCGGTCTCAGAGTCTAAATCCTTGGACGACTCGGTAGTGGATGGCAAGTTCAATAGAGACATTGTACAAAGAGGAACACTTTGGAGTTTTCATCAGAATGGTTTGTAATACGCTCCTGAACTTGTGCTATTTTTTATTTTGGTTAATGAAACAGAAGTGACTGTAATGCAAGTGGTGTGAAGTCAGGACCAACAAAGCCTTCTCTGCTGGTCTCAACACATTCAGAATCACTAGTTTACATTTTAGTATCTTTTATATTTATTATTACTGATAATATTATTATTAGGCTAATATTATTTTTGAAATAACACCTGTCATGACATCTGTCTGTGGTGAAGAGACACCTGTCTGTGGTGCAGCAGCATGTTTTTTTTTGTTTTTTTTTTTGCATGTTTTTTGGTGGGGTATGTAGCCATGGCATCAAGTTGTATGGACTGTCTATAAATTACACCGATTTTCCGTCATTTTGCGTGGATACAGACGTAGCCTATAGGATTATAGGCAGCTCCCCCCCACCCGCCACCACCACCATCTTTACATTTCTGCATCACCGCCACGGCTGTAACAAGACGAGGAAATGTAACACGATCCTGCAACATTAGAGAAGTTGTTTCCCATTCTTTGAAAGTGTAAATGACATTGTGAATTATTTATTTATTTATTTATTTATTTATTTATTGTTAATGAGTTGCTACAGAAGATAGATATGCTGGGTTGTTCTAAAACAATATGCATAACTGTGCAAAGGTCTTGAGTCGTTCTCATTTTTGAATAGCTTTTATGAAGCTGGACTTTTCTTGGAATCTTTTAAGTGGTCAAACTTGACTTTGGCAGATTTCCCACTCATTTTTACTTGTTTCTTAAAACTAGAGGCCGTTCATCTCCTCTAGACAGATTTTTTTAGATCTTACACATTTGCTTTTGTCCTCATTTTCAAGCACACGATGCACAATAAGCTGTTATTGTCAGAAAATGAAGAGAAAAAGCAGCCACTATATATATATACATGTATATATA